TCTCATATTGAAAAGATACATGATGGTCAAACTCCACATAAGGGCTCAAATCACCTAGAGTAACAACTTAATATTGAGTTTTTGAGGTCATTGGTTTAAATACGAGAGTTGTTGGGTTAATGGTTAGTAGATACAGGACATTATAAGTGGTATTTAAAACCCAGTGAGTCCTCATTGAAGAATTGTAAGCTAAATATTTCTTATAAATGAAGAATCGTAACAAAAAATTCTAATTCCCAACTGACTTGGAAGAGGAGTCCAAAACCGACGAGTCTTTGATGGTGTTGGGGTCCCCTTGTGGTTGTAAACCTTTCCAAAATGTGGCTATAGTTGTTGTAAAATTTCTCCTCCCACACCCTCCTTGGCATGCTGATTGTCCTTAAACACCAACACGGATGTTGCAATAAGGTGGGAGATGAAGCAATTTCCTTTAAAATGGCATTAGAAAAATCGAGTTGGAGTGTGGAGATTAATCTGAATGCACCAATAAAAAATTTTCAAGATAGGGTATTTTCCACTACATTCTCTCCTCCTGCTTAATTACAAAATCAAAAATTTGGTTAACTAATGTTGTTGTGGAGAGGTCATCGCCTTTGCTCCAATAAGAATTTGATTGTTGTAATTTATCCAATGATCCTGAGCTAACGTGACCTTGACTATGTGGACTTTCGAATTGTCATTTGTAGCATAAAGACATCAAAGATTTCAGTAGTTGAGATTGTGATACCTCAATCATACATCAAAAATATATATGATGATTAAGTTTCAAATAGCCATTAATTTGAATTAGAAATTATTGGCTAAATGGTTCTTGAGCTCATGACGTTACAAATAGTGTCAAAATATATGTTAGTTTAGTGACTTCATATTAGTGCAATCTTGGATTTTGTAAGCTTTTTTATTGTAATTTGTGATTGTGGTCTGTAATGTAGTTTCATTTAGGACATCAAAAATTTAAATGATCAAAATTGTGATACTCCAATCCCACATCGGAAGGAAATGAGATTGTTGAACTCCATACAAGGTCTCAACTTGACTTGAACTTTTGAAGGCTAGTAGTTCTTGAGCCCAAGGTATTATTACAATTATATCACTAGATCCGAGTAAGCCAAGTGTCCTAGGAAGACATGTAACAGGAAACTATATGGAACTACTAAAAACTGAACCAAATATAATAATGTCCAATATATTTCTGATTTAAAAAGGATAGCAAAAAATTTTAAAAAGCACACAAATACCGAAACAAAATTAAGTATATATCTTTAATGCATACTGTCCAATGTTATAAGCTGGGAGATTGAAAGAAGTGATATAGAGGCCAAACCTTCACGTTAAATGCAAACCATTTGAGCTCCATGCATCCAACCAATTAGCGACATAGAGTTGGATAAATTAAACAGGTTCCTTCTTGGATATATCCTCAAAAGATTCTTTCGAGTATATCTAAGACAATAATTTCAAGCAATAATCATATGAGAATTTTAGGCAAAATTTCAAAACGAAGAACGTTAATCCGTTGAAGAATAACAAAAGCTCAAGAATATCTAAACTTTGAGTACATGATCTGATATGCCTCAAACAAGAAACAAACATGAACATATACCTCACAACAAGTGCACCATGAGACGAAACAGCTTTTTCAAGAGCTTGTTCGCCCAGACTAAGGCATCTAACTTTATTAGGTTCAACTTTTAGTGCCTCTTCCAAGGCACCCTTGGCTTTTCCTGCATGAACCACAATCAAAGACTTGTATGCAGATACTACTACTGAGTCCGATTCTGAATCACTGCCCTCGATATTTTCATTATTGTGATTGATTCCATCCATATTACTACCACCCTGTAGGGAAGTAGGATAAGGCATGAGGTGAACATCATATAATATGCAGATTCGTCCATGTTTAGCCACGGAATTAATATGTAATTCATTTAGTTTACAGTAAACCTCCTCATTCTCCTCCCGATCAACTCTTTCTTCTGGCTTCTTTCTCATACATCATGATCAGAAGCCTTTTCCTTCTGAGAGTTACCTTTTTGGTAACTAATATTAGCTTGTTCGAGGTACTCTGTTGAAGGTTTAGTTAAAATGATAATCCGGTGCTTCAATTCTTCTGGTGAAGGGAATTCTTATCCATTTTTTACTGAAAAAAGCATATCTCCAAATGTTCCAAGCAACCTCTACAGAAGTAAAATTTTCCAATCAGTTAAATACAGTTCAAAGGAAGCTGGATGGTCAGGATTCATAGAAGAAGCAAACAACCTCATGAACTTTAGCCTGAAGATCTTGGGTGAGATGGTCTTCAAGAACTCTCTAATCGATCTCAAACACTTGATGAGTGACACTTGAGTTGTCGAGGTACTTACTTTGGAAAACGATCTAAGAGATTTCCGGGAGGACAAAACAAAATTAAGGAAATTACTTAAAACATCTTGCAAAACACAAGTATGACAACGATGTAAGTGAGAAAAACCTGGAATCCAGAAGCCATATATGGATACTTCCCGCCCTGTTCTTTGTTCAATAGTTTACAGGTCCTTCTATGAGAATACTAATTTTCTGAAGAAATGCAAGTTTAAAATGGTGTATCTCAATCAAGATTCAAGAGTATTCACTGGTGGATAGACTTCAACTAAAATAACAGGGATCAGCAACCCCAAATGTCTTTAATAAAAAATTGTCGTCTCCCGAGTTAAACTCCCCATATTAAGTTGAAAGAGAGGGCTCCTGGTTCCCCTCGTAGATACAAACATTTTCATGGAAAAAAGGCCTAAGGTGATTAAGATTCAACCACCATAATTTCTGAAAAGAACCTTATGCTCCATTAACCTGGTAACCAAAAGTTGCATCCACTGTGAAATCAAACAGAATTACAGTCTTCATGTAAAGGCAATTCAACTTGGTCCCATCTTTTTACTTACAATAAAATAGAAACTTCACCCTCTCAGAAAGAAATGAGTTTTTCTCAATGTGACAGGTATTAACTGATCCAAGTTTCATAAGCAACATGAAAGAAATTGTGAACATCACACCCTCCACATTCATTTAAACAATTGTAGATTGCCGGAATTGTTTTCTTCATTACTTGTCAGCTAATTCAATTTCATCTTACAAGTAGAGTTATGAACCAGTTACCTTCCATGAAAAACAATGACATCGCTCTTGGTAGAGTCTGGCCATAAATCAAGCTCCACCACTCTCACACCTGTCCGAGGTGCAAATATGATTGGGATGTCGTTGCATTCACCACTGAGCAGGTCTCCAGTCAAATAAGAATTGTAGCCAGCATATATAAAATAATGAGACAGAGGAGCTGTCATATCATGATGGACCTGAAATTACCACCCTATGTAGAACATCAAGACCCTTTGAAACAATGTATGCATCTTTTGTTTATGAAATCAACAATGGCTCAAGTTCTAAACCTACAAATAACAATCAATGAATAGAAAAGGAAAAATCCATCATTAATTCTCAAATGTAGTTAATCAGGTATACTTGCCGGTTTATATGCCTAATCATCTCAGCTGTTTGATTCGGTGCTGGAGCATGGTAATTTAAGAAGAAAAGTACTATCTTTTTCATGCCAATTTCTCCACTAGCATAAAAATCACGAAGTTCCTCAGATTTAAAGCTCGTGAAAAACATTAATAAACACACCCGGACCTTTCATCTTACTTTTCCTCCATAATTCTCAGAGACCAAACAGAAAAACACAAGACAAAACAAGTACTCGCCTGATCACCAATAGGGGGATTGAGATCGGCAGAGAACAAGTAACGATGGAAGTCATCGAGCGTGAGAATGTTGGTCTGGGTTTTCCTAGTGAAGTTAGGAACGTGGCGATGCCCCCTCTGCAGGACGGCCTTGACGATCCTCTTGGCTTCGGCCAGCGTTGTGCCGCCTTCCTCTTGGAACTCCACCAGAAACCGCCGGAGCTGCTCGACACTCATCTCGGTCCCATCTTGTGCATACCTCTCAAACACCTCCTTCACGTCCTCCGGTGGGGCCGCTTCCGCCACTCGGAGTTTACCTCTGAACAAGCCCCTCGTTCTATAGCCGACTGCCTCCATCTCTGTCTCTCGCCCCGTGCGCTTCTGCAACTTTTTCCGATAACGTCACTCAGGTCCACTGCCCAACAAACTAGGATATTACAGGCACTTAGAGATTAGTCCACTAATCTTCCTTGCAATGGATGAATAGTGCGAAATAAGTAAAGCCTAGCAGATGAGGCATCTATCTGCCTTGCCCTATGGTCAAAAGATCCCGCCGTTAAATAAATATATGGGAAGCTTCATTGCAGAAATGAGGTTCCACATTTTCTTAATATTTTCAAAATTTTCAACCACTCTCTGCGCGTTTACTTTTTTTTTTTTTCCGATTAGTAAATCTGTATACCAGTTTTATATATGTACAAACATATATATGCATATATATTATGTAGCAACAATGCTGCTGATAGGATCATAAGATCCCAACGGCAACCCAAAAAAAAGGAATCCCCAGAAAACAGTCAACACTCCAGGATCAACCCCCACGATTCCCGCTCAACTTCTGCACTCCCAACCTCCACGATCTCTAGCCAACTTCTGCACTATTCCATTTCCTCCATTTATCTCTAGTTGCTTAAAAGTAGGAGTTTGGGGTTGTATTTTTATGTATTTAAACCATTTCCAAGCAGCAAGAAAGACATGAAATTATTGAATTTAAAATCTTATGGTTTATTCTTATCTGAAAAGAATTTCTTTATTAATTTACTTTGGCTTCTAACTGGAACTTGTCAATTAGTATCAGAGTCATCTTTAATAAGGAGATGATTGAACAACTCGAAGCAAGCATGGGGGGGTTGCAAGATAGCTTAAGTAGAATGGAGCTAGGAGTCGCGGATAAGTTGCACCAGATGGAGGACACCCTCAAACGAATAACGGAGACCTTGTTAATCAATCGTGAGGGCTCCAGGTGCAACACCCCAAACTGAAATGGAGGAGCACGATTAAGCCGCGACGAAGGAGCTGAGCGAAGTGACGATGGCCAACAGCCATTCTTCTCTAAACTCGCCAAGTTGGAATTTTCCATCTTCTTCAGAGATGACTCGACCGAGTGGCTCAACCACGTCGCACAATTCTTTGAGTATCAAGGGATTCTCGAAGAGCAGAAAGTCCAACTAGTTTCTTTCCACCTAGAGGGCGAAACCAACCAGTGGTGGCAATGGCTTCACCGGACTTATCAAGAAGAAGGAAGAATGGTGACATGGACCGGATTTGTAAAAGAATTTTGGGTACGTTTTTGGCCAACAGAGGCAGAAGACTTTGATAAGGCCTTATCTAAAATTAAACAGCTCGGCCCATTGAGAGAGTATCAAAAGGAGTTTGAACGGATTGGCGATCGGGTCCACGGGTGGACCCAAAAGGCTTTAATTGGCACCTTCATGGGCGGACTTCAGCCCGAGATAACAGAAGGGATAAGGATGTTCAAGCTTAGGACCTTGAAGGATGCAATAAGTCTGGCCTGCATGCGCGAGGAACAGTTGGGCTGTCAAGGTAGGCTCGACTAGGGCGGGCGGAATCAACCCGACCCACGATCGCGCTCCCTATCCGACCAGACTCTGCGAGCTCTAGCAGAAACAGTCGCAGCTCCCAAGCGATTATCTTGGGAAGAGGCACAGTGTCGGCGAGCACAAGATCTGTGTTTCCACTGTGACGAAAAGTTTACCTTCGGCCATAGATAACGTCGATTCCAACTATTACTTCTAGAAGGCAACAAAGAGGAAGAGAATGATGATCCTGCGAAACCTAGTTGAACGGAGAGACCAAAGGTACCTGAACCTTGAGGACAAGGTTCTAAAAAAAGAGGAGGCAATGATAGGATCATAAGATCCCAACGGCAACCCAAAAAAAAAGGAATCCTTAGAAAACAATCAATACTCCAGGATCAACCCCCACAACTCCCGCTCAACTTCTACACTCCCAACCTACACGATCTCTGGCCAACTTCTGCACTATTCCATTTCCTCCATTATCTTTAGTTGCTTAAAAGTAGGAGTTTGTGATTGTATTTTTATGTATTTAAACCATTCCCAAGCAGTAAGGAAGGCAGACAATTAGTGAATTTAAAATCTTGTAGTTTATTCTCACTCGAAGAGAATTTCTTTATTAATTTACTTTGTCTTCCGATTGGGACCTATCAGCTGCGTACCATCCATGAAGAACATGTACATCATCCTTTGTTGAATTGGGCCATAAATCAAGTTATATGGCTATTACGCCTCACATCATGTTTGGATCGTGGTACATATAGAATTTTAATGTACGATATTTACGAATGTGAAAAAATCATATTGTTTAATTTTTAATGATAATAAACGTTATTGACCGATAATTTATAATAAATTTTAAAACTACCGAATCAGTGATATGTGACTAGCATGTTAATTTTTTTTCCTTTATACTCGTATATAATATACTTAATTATATTTTTATTCTCACAATTTATTATTTATTTTATTAAATATAAAAATTTAATTTGTAATAATTATTTATTTAAATATAAATATAATTATATTGATAAACAATTTAATTTTTTTTTATTATATACTTTTTATATATTACTTTCTATTATATATAATAGGTATGAGTAAATTAGTAATTTGACTGAAAATACAACCATACCATTCTATTATTCAAATAAAAATACATCATTAATATATATTAATATACAATCATTCAAATATAAAAAAATTTTGTCATTCTCATCCTACGTCATTGTCATTTAATTACTGTTATTACCATATATTAATTAACTATTACTAAAATTTATCCAAATAGAATGTCAGTCTAACGCATTTACGATAGGGACATGACTGCTTTAGCTGCTGAGTTGATTGCCAATAAAATATCAATTATGTCCAATGAAAATGAAAGAGTGAGAAAGAGGAGCAATCATGCCTTGATAAATCTGAAAATAATTTTCTTTGCAACCAAACAGGAAATGTAAGTAAGAAACAAAAGAAAAATATGTGTTGACCTTATCAGCAATAGGTGGATTGAGGTCTAGTGAGAATAAGTAATGGTAAAAATCATCAAGAGTGAAGAAACTACGTCTTGTGAACTTTGCAATATGATGCATCCTCTGTAAGACTTGTTCTATTATCTTTTCTGCTTCGACCTCAAACACATAGCCTCCTTCTTCCTGAAACTCCACCAAGAATCGACCTAGTTGCTCTGACGTCATGTGGGTCTCACTACCTGTGTACTCATAAAAATTAGCTTTCAAATCACTTGGTGGCGCTTGTTCAGTGATCCTGATCAACTTGCTAGTAAACGCATCTTCAAGATCTTCATGATTCTTGCTTAATTTTAATTACTTTTTTCAAAATCTGCAGTAAAATCTCAAAAGTCGAAGAAATGAAAAATCAATGTGGCCTTAGTTCATTGTATTTCCAATGCATTTTGTGACACGATCTTACTTTTTTCAAAATTTGCAGTAAAATCTCAAAAGTCGAAGAAATGAAAAATCAATGTGGCCTTAGTTCATTGTATTTCCAATGCATTTTGTGACACGATCTTCCATTTTTATAACCAGCTCAACTTCCCTTTATATCTATACTTTGTTTAATCACCAATCCCTTGTGTATATATTCCATTCTTTCTCATATTCCTATATAGGCAGAAATGAAAATCATATTGAAGGCTGCTTCTTGGTCAATGGAATCACTTTCATTTTCATATTGTTTGCCTCCAAGTGGTAGATTGTGATATCATGTATAAACTGCATATATATAATATCATTTAAATGATGTTTAGGCTATTAGTAGGATTCTTGCTTCATGAATTTCTCAAGCGATTATGATTTGTGTATATCACTAATATTATAATTTTTCCAAAGCCAGTGTATGTTGATAATTTTCCAGTCACTATTGGAAGAATACATGATTTTAATTAAACATACATACACTGTTTTTTCATAATTAATTTTACTTTTTTGGGGTTGAATTTCGTAATTAATTTTAATGACATTAAGATGTACTTTCATTCCGTATATAAAACTCAAGAATTTATACTATTGTTTCTGTGTGATTTAAAGTACTGTACAAAATAAAATAATTTTTTTTTAAAAAAATAAAAAATATATTCTTTAATTGCAATATTTGACTAAAAAATTATATGTGAATTCCTTTCTATCTGTTTTTCCGTCTGATCGATTGACTTTATTAACCACCCAGATTAAGCATGTTAATTAGATGAATTGTATAGATTTTATCAGCATATTGGTCTTCCCTAAACATATAATTAATTTGAAATTAACAACCATGATAGAACCTAGAATACGATAATTAGGCATTAATTGTTTACGTTTTGGTAAATACAATACCCTATTATCAGAACTCAAAGCGCATAAGAAGCCTTACTGACTTGTACTTATTTCCCTTCTTATCATAGAGTGGAACTGCACGAATGCCTTTCTTCAATTCAGATACAGGCAAACAAGTTTGGCTCCAGGGGTTATCAGTCTCTGACAGACCGGATTGATGGACTTCAATCAAAAGCAAAGCAAATTCAGGAGCAGTCAATGGAAATGTGAATTCTTCATTCCAAATAGGTGTCCAGCTATCCTCGCAAATCTTGGTTTTTTCTGTTGCCTGATCTGCAACTACACCTGCAATTTCAACCTGCATTACAGACTAAAAGGTAAATATACACCAATGATATCTTTAATATTTGATGTATTTATCAGATTTAGCTAAGAAAGATTGTGAAGACTGATCTAAAGCTACACAGAGAAGCAAGAATGAAGATGAAGACTCAAAGAAGATAGAGAAGTGGTGGTTTAAGGAAACCCTAATCAGGATTTTCTTTTGTTTTTATTTCTTTGTGTATATTCGATACAAAGAAAAGAAAGCATTTATATGGGAGAGGAAAACTGACATGCTCCATATATATATATATATATATATATATATAAGTTTTTCTCTCCCAACCTTAATTCTACACCAATCCCATTTGTATAAACCTATATACAAACTCCACATACATGTACACACAGATCCCTTACGAGGCTCCACCATCTGCATCATCCTATTTGGTGCTCTGCGGACCTCCATTCTATGACAAGGTCACATTTCACAATTCCAATCAAATGTGTCATCTAAGGCAAGTGTTGGCAACAAATAAAACAAAGGATGCCACAAACACAAAATCTTATGAAGTTTGAAATTCAATTAAAATCCGAACTCCAATTGGGGAAGGTGGTTGTTTTCCAAAAACATTAAATTTGGAATACAACATCGATTGAGCTCTACAGAAGGATGTTCAAGTACATATGATGTCACTTTTGTAAATCACAGATGCTTAAACTTGTCAAGTGGAGTGTAATGGAATGGGGAATTCAAAAATGGTGGTGGATTGCTTAATATCCCTTCTAGCTATTACACATCATTGAGGACAAGGATGATTTTCGTGAGAGGGTAATGACAGGATCCGCCAGTACATGCAGTACATTAGGTTGTTAGGGAAGAGGTGGCAGAAGCAGAGATAAGGAGAAGGATATGGCAGTTTTAAACATATGATTACTGTTAATTCAATTAATTATTGTTAAATACTTTGTTATTAGTATCTGTTACAATGTTTCAACATCTATTTTTCATTTATTATTCTTCAGTTAGTTGATTCTGGGTTATTTTGGCCAAGAGAGTATTTATAGAAGGTCCTCATTTGTATGGAGAGACTAATCAACACTCCCAATACAAAAATTATCAATTGTCACTCAGTTTCCACTCTGCATTCTCTTTCCGGCAGTTCTAAATTCTCATTTCTCACTTATTTTCTCTGTTTCTGCTGCAATTCTTCCTTCTTCCTCAATTTCATCCAAATCAGGATTAGGATCCTGACAGATGAAGATATCATAATTATTTCAAAAGATAGTTAATGACAGCAACTTACCTTAACATGCCAGTCTGGTGGACGTGTCTCAAAGCGAGTCTGTTTAAGATCTAAATGGTAACCATCTGCCTGGTAGACTTTCACCTGTCAAGTGAAAAGATAGCAAAGCAAATAAGAAAAAGAGAAGTGGTGAATGATCTCTCAAATTTTGAAATCATCCTCACCTTTAAATTTTTCCTCGCAGGCACTTCTGCTTTCAGATAAACTTGGCGAGGACCAAATTTTAATAGAGAACAAGGCTTTCTGACATAGCCACATCCTCCATTCGATTTGAACATCCCATGCATCAACCAAAGGCTTCTACCATGCTCCTGCAATTGGACATTAGCTTGCTGACTTTGGGACTAAAAAATTATTATAATGCATGTAATAACAAGTTTGCAAAATAAATTACCATGATTAACATGCTGAAGAATCAAGTTTATTCCTAATCAGGAGGGTTATCTTTGATTCCAAACAAACATTATAAATTTGGTAAAAGTTGAAAATCAACATGCAATATATGAAGAATCAAATCTATACCCTCTAATGTTCCGCTCCACCATTCAGGATTTGCTCTAATAAAGCCCCACTGACTTTATTACACTTATCCTAGCGGTTGATAGCATAAGGAAGCAACTTAAGTTAAAGATAGAAAACTGGAAAATTCCAGCACAAGCCCCATATTGAAGAGATTGACTACTCCAAGATATATAGTTACATTGTGAAGGCAACCTGCGTACATGTTTTATCTCTCCCACTTTCTTATCAGTGGTTGATTCACCAACTGGACATTATGAACATATTCCTAAATAGTCATCTCAAGGAAATTGTCTGCATGTGCCAGTCTCATTTTGAGGATGCCAATAACCAAGATTATGTTCATCAGCTACATAAGGCCCTACATGGTCTTAAACAAGCTCCTCAAGCTTGATGATATCAACTTCCCTCATTTCTTTCTATAAGCCCTTTATTTTTATATACAGGTGGAGCCTTGGGCTTGCTTCTCTTATATGTTGATGATATAATATTGACGACTTATTCACAAGCTCTTTTGCATATACTGATCAACCAATTGAAGCTGCAATTTGCTATAAACGAAACTTCAATTTTTCCTTGGGCATCCAGTTCACCCAAAACAAATGGGGTCTAATTATTGGCACATTAAGAGATGCCCTTGGGTCTAATTATTGGCACCTTGACTCAGCTCACCTTAGATCTGGACCAGAGTCACGAGCACAGCAGGGGACAGAGGCACCAGCCATCGGCACACGTGTCTGATTGTAGAGAGTCGCGATAGACAAGAGTCAGGGTTCTGGTGACTGCATCTGCATAGCATCATGATCATTGTTGGGCAAATGGGCATTCCGCAGCTGCTTGGAAGAGGGAAGACACGTCTAGTTGCATCGGAATCGTGCTTCTCATCGGGATCTCGCCAGGACAGAGATCAGTCGGGACCGCACTTCACATCTGAGCACGACTGACAGAGCACCGCCTGGTTGTATGGCCCAGAGAGGGTCACGTCTAGTCACAACTACATTTGGTGACGGAGGAGATCATGTCACAAAGTTGCAACACAGTAAGATTCTGGCCCTGGGATTAGGGTTCTGGATGTGCAACTAGACATGCAGCTTAGGGTTCTGGCTTCAGCAATGAAGGCCGACCAGTTGCTGATGGTGGTCAGTGGTGTTGGTTGGCAGGTTGTTCCATAATGGTCAGCTATGAAGCTTGACCTAACCCTTTTTACGGTTTTTTCTTTTCTATTTCGTCAATACATTGAATATTACAATCTTATATATACAGATTTTCCACAACAAGAAATGAAAATTGGCAATTAATTACAATTAATTATAGATGGAGTAATTTTACTCTTTTACCTAACCTGATTTACTTTGTCTCTAACACACTTATTGACTTAATTTTTAATATCCTTATTTACTTCTTTTTTAACAGAGCTCTTGCCGGACAATGCAAGTTTACTAAATTCCTATATGAGTATTCCTAAAGGGCTCGCTTCTGCATGATTCCAATTATTAAGGTCTAATCTCTATGAGATCCTACAATTAGCTTGAGGGGGCATGATTCCAATTACATATATATATATATATGTAATTGTATCACGCCCTACTCACATTTATATTTAACAACCGGAAGTTTTCAATATCAGTGGACTCATCTTGTATGTATACATAATTGACAAAATAATTGATGCAGAACATGAACATCCTAAAATGGGCATATTTCAATAAGAGACATGAATTCATAACCAATAAAAGAAAATAAACATTACGAGGAGTTTTATACTAAAAGAAGGTCGAAGGTTTAATTCTCTTTTATAGTAGAAATAAAAGTTTGGGAAATTTCTAAAGATCAATTTTATTTTTGAGTATTCTCCTAGTTCTTTCTATTCAACTTATTTTTATATTTTTTAAATTTCCTATTTTAATTATATTTTTGTACTATGTAAAGCCAATGAAAGGTATACCAGAGATGTCCATGTCTTGCAACAATAACCTAGTACGCTATCACCTGGTCTGCAGTAATTAGTCGGTACTACCTTAGTTAACTAAGAGATTAATCAATAATCCCAGATAAGTTTAGGTTTGTCCTAGTCATTTTACTGCTTTTGGTAGATTCTTTTCCAGCTTTTCTCTCATTGTTTTTCGTTATTTTCTTTTGTCTTGAGATCAATAGAAAAATAGAGAAATTCAAATAGAATAGGTATGTAAATTTGTATGAAAAATTCTCTAATCGAATTCCTAATCTTTCATAATTTTTTTGTCTATTTGTCTCTCTCTCTCTCTCTCTCTCTCTCTCTCTCTCTCTCTCTCCTTTCATTACTATCTTACCTCCTTACTCTTCTCCTTCTCCCTACTACTAAAACCCTAAAACGACTCTCAACCAGACTCCTTGCTTGAGCATGTTCCTAAGGAGCCTGGCATACTACAAATAAGTTATGATCCAGTTTAGTTGTTTAGTAGACTATCCATGATTATTATTCAAATATTGATATATTGCTTTGATTATTAAGATCTGACTCCTAGTTTGCTTCCTAATAACTGTTCTCTAAGTTTTCTCTTCAACATCTCTTTGTCCTACACTATTAATACTGTAATATTTCAATCTCACATCGAAAAAATATATAATTATTGAACTATATATAAGAAATCACAAACTATCAAAAATTTCAACTTGAGATTTTGAGCATCAGTGTTTTGAATCCAAAAAAGTTGATGGTCGATGGTGTTATGGGCCCGAGTTACTTTGAGTAAAGTTTTACAATAATAGTCCAAGGCGAAGTTAAAAATATCTTGAAAAGGCAACGAGGACCCTTTAAAACTCCATATGCCTATTTGTTTACACAAAAATCATTCTTAACTGGGGAGAATTATAAGAGTTATGGGTGGGTGCCTTATAGGCAAACCTCTATGCCATGCTTTAGGGACCTCCCTAGTGATCCAAAATCCTAACTAATAGATCCAGACATTCTTCGCCAATTGACTCCCAAGAATGCCTTAAATGCATTTAATGGTAAGATAAAGAATTGTTGATGGAAGTGGTGATTCCCAATTAGAGGAACACTAATGATAGAGATCAAGGCGGCACAATCCATAATAGGCCACATGAGAGCTCACAACCAAGACGCAATTCGAACTCACCACCTCATGAGAGATCACATAGAAGCTCATGATATCATGAGCTCAAGAGGCCATGGTTTAGGCCATATGAGTGGTGAAGGTCACGGCAAGATCCATACAAGGGGAGATCCTCACAGCAAGGTCCATATGATTGGAAGTCAAGACCCAATTCTTGGATCGCAAAGTCCACATGAAGAGAAGTCTATGATGGATTCCGCTCAAGGTAGACTTGGCCTATATGAATGGAATATCACTATATCAAGATGACCTGTCACAAGATCATAGCGAAGTGTGGTGATAATAATATAAATTAGTAAGCAGGTCTAAAGAAAATGTGATGATCAAGATGTTGGTGGATTAACTTCAGGTTAATATAAATCCTTGAGGCAAGGTTTATTCTGCTACAACTCTCCTTCATTAATTTCTTCATAAATCAAGCCAAGTTCCTAACATGTGGCTTCAATTAGGACACAAAAACTTGAAGGATGAAGACTGTGATACTCCAATCCTGCTATGGAAGAAAATGTGATTGTTTAACTCCATATAGGGTCTCAACTTGAGTTTGGACTTTTGCAAGCTAGTAGTTCTTGAGCTCAAGATACTTTTACAATTATATCACTAGATCCGACTAAGCAAAGTGTCCTAGGAAAACATGTAACAGGAAACTACATGGAATTTCTAAAAATTGAACCAAATATAATCATCATCCAATATATTTTTGATGGAGAGAGGATAGCAGAAAATTTTTTACAGCACATAAGTATAAAAAACAAAGCAAGTAAATATCTGTAATGCATACTGTCCCAATGTTAGCTGGGAGATTGAAAGAAGTGAATATAGAGATGAAACCTGCATGTTAAATGCAACCATTTGAGCTCCATGCATCCAACCAACTAGTGACAGAGAGTTGGATAAGTTAAACCGGTTCCTTCTTGGATATATCCTCAAAATATTCTTTCGAGTGCATCTAAGACAATGATTTCAAGCAAATAATCATATGAGAATTTTAGGCAAAACTTCAAAACAAATAACTAACATCTGTTGAAGAAAAATAAAAGCTCAAGAATATTTAAATTTTGAATATATGATCTGATATTTTTTTTTTTTAAAGAAAAGTATAGAAGTGTATTAATGACAGGTGCCAAGAGGGCACCACCCATGTACAAAAATTACATATCAATAACTATATCTACAATAGAAACAAAGTCTACGTTACTATCAATATCGTGGCCTAATATAGTAGCACCAAAATAGTTGAACCAATTGTCTTTTAAGGTATTAAAATCGAGTTCTTTTCCATCAAAAGCACGCTTGTTTCTTTCCTTCCAAATGACCCAAAATATAGTAAGAGGAATGAGTTGGAAAAACTTATTTCTTTTACCGAGACCTTCCCAAGTAAGTAATTCACCGTAGACAGTGTTATCCATGACCCAGGATAACCCCAATAGGCCGAGGACCATTGCCCAAAGTTTATGAGAGATCGGGCACCACAGAAAAAGGTGGCTGCAAAATTTCAGACCCATTTTATAAAGGTGGCATTTATTTGCAATGGGTATTCCTCTTTTCATTAGATTATCCAAAGTTCAAATTTTTTCCTTTGTTGCTTCCCAAGCGAAAAAAGATATCTTGGGTGGGGCACCCGATTTCCAGATGATTTTGGCAGGGAACTTCCTTTGGTTGCAATTTATCCGGTCATCCAGAAAATCATAAAATGAGCTGACAATAAAACAGCCATTGCTCTTGTATTTCCAGCGCAGCCTGTAATCATGATGTTTTAGGTGGATGTGGGACAGTGTGTGAAGCAGGTTTTCACATTCTTCAATTTTCCAATCATGTAAATTCCTCGTAACAGTGACATTCCAATTGTGAAGGCTGCTAGGAGAGACTGCGTCTTTCATAAGACCATTTTTGAAGCTAGAGATGGCATAAATTTGTGGAAACTTGTCCTTATGAAAAACTAACCCGCACCAAATGTCATTCCAAAATTGAACCTTGTTACCATTACCAATGATCTAGTCAGTACAGTTTAGAAGAGCTGGGCTGATATTCATGATGTTCCTCCAGAGACTTGTGCCATATTTATATTTTTTTATGTGTGATAGGCTCCTTTGATCGTCAACAGACCATTTACAGTCAATAATTTTTTTCCATAAACCTTCTGGTTCATTCCAGCACCTCCAAATCCATTTCCCAATGAGGGCTTTGTTTAGTTTGGCAAGAGTTCTCAATCCCAGATCGCCATCCCACACCGGTTTTTTTACTTCTTTCCAATTGACAAGATGGTATTTTTTATTTTCATTGTCCACATCACTCCATAAGAAGTTGCACTGAATTGTTTCTAATTTTTTTGCAACCTTGGTTGCTAAATTGAGCACCAAAAGATAATAAATAGGCAAGTTGGAGAGTGTGCTCTTGATGAGAGTAAGTCTTCCTCCCTTGGATAAAAATTTCTTTTTCCATGTTGCTAATCTGTTTTGCACCATACCAATAACCGGATCCCATTTCTTGCTGTCATTATGTTTAGCTCCCAGTGGCGCACCAAGGTAATTGATAGGCAGATTTGAGCTTCTGCAGTTTAGTGTAGCATTGAGGTAGCCCATATCATCATCACCAGCACCCAAAATAACAAGTTCAGACTTGTGTAAGTTGATTTTTAGTCCAGAGACTGCCTGAAAACAAGCTAGAATGCATCTCAAGAGAATAAGAGAACGCGTCTCCGGTTGGCAGAAAATAAGGGTGTTTTTGGCGAAAAATAAGTGAGATTTCAATTGTTCTATTTCGCTTGCCAACAGTAATACCCTTTAGCATATGCAGATTCTTTGCTTGCTCAATTAATTTATGTAAGGCCTCCATAACAATGATAGAAAGGAGTGGAGAAGGTGGATCGCGCTGCCTTAACCCCCTTGAAGCAGAGAAAAATGCTGAAAGTCCTACGTTAACCAATACCACAAAGGTGGAGGTAGTGATACAAAATCTGATCTAGCTTCTCCATTTCTGGCCAAAACCCATTCTTCTAAACATGTAGTCAATAAAATCCCAGTGAACATTTTCAAAAGTTTTTTCCATGTCAAGCTTATACATAACACCTTCTTTGTTATTTCTAGTAATATCATCAACAATCTTATTAGCAATCAAAATAGCATATGAAATCTGTCATCCGGGAACAAAAGCATGTTGACAGTCACTAATGATTTTACCAAGAACTTTAGAGAGTCGTTTAGTAAGGATTTTTGACAGAAGTTTGTATGTACACCCAACAAGGCTAATTGGCCGAAAGTCATTGATATTCTCAGGGTTAGATCTTTTCAGAATCATAACCAGAAAGGTAGAATTAAGAGATCTCACAAAGGTACTGTGACTATAAAAATCATTGAAGAATTTAGTAATATCACTTTTGATTACATTCCAGAAAGTTTGAAGGAAGTTGAAGTTGAAACCATCCGGACCGGGGGCTTTATCACCATCACATTCACGAAAACAGTACAGAATTTCATTTTCAGTGAAATTATCCTCAAGATATTCTCTGTCCCTTTCAGATATGCAATTAAGAGACAAATTATCCAACTGCAGTCTGTGTTCATGTTGTTCAGAGTATAGGTTCTGAAAATGGTTTTTTGCACCTTCCCTAAGAGCCTTATTTCATTTGATTCTGTTATTCCCAATGGTGAGTTCTTCCACAAAGTTGATATGTCGTCTGTGGTTTGAAAGCACATGGAAATACTTTGAATTTCTGTCACCATCTTTAATCTATTTTTCTCCGACTTTTTGTTTCCATGATATGGTCTCCATGTGGATTTTGTTGGAGAGCAATAATTTCATTTTCTTTTTTTTCTGTCATCAGCAGATAGCAACAAGCTTTCCTCTTTTCAGTCTAACTCCTCAATTTCTACCAGAATATCACTAATGTCATCTTCTTCTTTTCTGCCAGTTTCATTAGCCCAACTTTTGATTTCGGCTTTTGAGGAGCTTAAGTTTTGTAGCAATTCTGTAGCTAATTGTACCCTTTATAATTGACTTACACCATGTATCTGCAACCAATTTTCTAAAACTGTCCAGCACCAGCCATTTATTATCAGTTCTGAAGGAGATAGGGCCCATTGAATCCCATCTGACGACAAAAGAATGGAGAAGTATCAGATGTTGGCCTGGAGAGAATTTTCTGGTTTAGGTTAGGGAGAATAGCAAGAAGATTGGTGGTGATGAGGATCCTGTCAATTCTTGAAGAAGAAGAATGCTCCCTTAAGTTGCTCCAAGTCCATTTCTCCCCCAGTAAGGGAAGATCATAGAGATCCAAACTGTCAAGGAGTGATCTAAATTCCGCCATGTCCTTAGGG